CGTTTGGTGTGAACGCAGCATAAGGAAATGCTGGGTCAAGGGAAAACACAAAGATAAACACAAGTGATGGAAAGATCGGCTAGCCGGTGTGTTAACTCGAGAGCTGACCGGGACTGGCAGCGGACGGCGGCTGGTTTGGTGAGCTGACCAGAGAGTTGACCACGAGGCCGGGGGCAGCTGGCTGGTGAGAGAACCTGAAGCTGGGACTGCTGACATCAGGCCCAGGAGCAACTACAGCCAGGTCCGACTAGATGAGCCATGCCGGGATGCGCTGGCCACGGAAGGTTAGACTCCATGGAGAACAGAACAAGAAAGACCTCTGGCCGTAACAGTTTTTAAAAGTTGGTAATATCAGTTGTCCTTTTGTAACAGATCTAGTTGAATGACCACTTCCAGAATTTGATTTGGGCAACAATGCACAGAGAGTTCCATAATTGGCACCTTGGAAGATCTGAAAATATAAATTAAATTTGCACTTGATATTAAACGTTTTGTGCTTTTGCAGGTCCAGACTTGCTGATTTCCTCAGTAACTGTCAGCCTTCTCATCAGACGGCAAGCGGATGTTTGAAAGACTCAACAGGTCTTTGCCTGCGAGCCTACGCTGGACTCATAGGTACAAAATGTCCATAAAAATCAAAGTAATTCATCAGACATTATAAAAACCTGCAGTTTTTTTTCACAACTTCTACAGGATAACATTTAGACTCAGTTCACAAGTGGGCACTTTGTGTTTATATGGTAACCTTTAAAAGGTTCATGTTTGAGAATYGTACAGTTAGCATGGATTATCACCAAAATCAAGAAGTAATGACAACTAGTGAAATCAGGTTTTAGTTTGTTATTGTGTTATTGTAGTGATCAACATTATTAAAGCTGAAYAAAGCATCTTTGCCTTCTCCTATTTGAAATTGAAGCCATAATGTGTGCCTGACCCTGAACCAGAAAGACAAAGAAGTTAACCAGAGATGTCATCACTAACTAGCACATCCATCATGTTCCACAGACTATTACAGCTAGTGTCTTCTTAGAAAACCAAACCTTATTGACCCTCTGAGCTGTGGAAACTGTTGTGGAMATGTGGTCCAGGATCCATAAGTCTATCTGCAGTTTACTTCTGAGTTAAGTTGTGTTAATAGAAAGCCACTCTGCTTAAATGGAACATGAAAACTGAGGCTCTACCTTCACCGCTGTGTCCGATCATCATCTTTTCAGTAAAATGACTGATAAAATATTGCTTTACTCCACGAACCTCCACCTGCATCCTCCCTGACATTCTCATTTTCAGAATATTCCAGAAATATAAAACCTTTGACTTTGTGCTGTGTATCCTGCTCATGACCGTTGTCCCTTTTATCTCCAGGAACCATCATGACACCAAACTACATCAGCAACAGTTCAGCCGAMGTGTCGCTGTGGTGCAACTGTGAAGGAAGTGGCAACCAGTGGCAGGACTGTCTGAGACTGCAGCGCCTCTTCACCCACAACAGCTGCCTGCGTGAGTCTGCACAGCCTGTAAACCTGTACCATCAACACACCTCTTCTACAGTCATTATTTATTCACTTATACACTAAGTATTCATGCTCACATTCACTAGTTATTCATGCACATGTCAACTAGTTATTCATGCAAATGTTAACTAGTTATTCATGCTCACATTCACTAGTTATTCATGCACATGTCAACTAGTTATTCATGCAAATGTTAACTAGTTATTCATGCAAATGTTAACTAGTTATTCATGCACATATTCACTAGTTATTAATGCACATGTTAACTAGTTATTCATGCTCACATTCACTAGTTATTCATGCACATGTCAACTAGTTATTAATGCACATGTTAACTAGTTATTCATGCTCACATTCACTAGTTATTCATGCACATGTCAACTAGTTATTCATGCAAATGTTAACTAGTTATTCATGCACATATTCACTAGTTATTAATGCACATGTTAACTAGTTATTCATGCTCACATTCACTAGTTATTCATGCACATGTCAACTAGTTATTCATGCAAATGTTAACTAGTTATTCATGCAAATGTTAACTAGTTATTCATGCACATATTCACTAGTTATTAATGCACATGTTAACTAGTTATTCATCAGCTATTAACTAGTTATTCATGCACAAATTCACTAGGTATTCATCAGTTATTAAATAGTTATTTGTGCACATAATCACTATTTATTCATGCACATATTCACTAGTTATTCACTAGTTATTCATTAGATATTTATCAGTTATTCAGTAGTTATTCATGCATTTATTCAGTAGTTATGCATCAATTATTCACTAGTTATTTGTGCACATAGGCACTAGTTATTCACTAGTTATTCATCAATTACCTAGTTATTTGTGCACATTCACTAGTTGTGTGCACATATTCACTAATCATCATGCACATTTTCACTTGTTATTCACTAGTTATTCATCCGTTAATCACTAGTTATTTGTGTATATATTCACTAGATATTCATCAGTTATTCACTAGCTATTTGTTTATATATTCACTAGTTATTCATCAGTTATTCACTAGTTATTTGTTTATATATTCACTAGATATTCATCAGTTATTCACTAGTTATTTGTTTATATATTCACTAGTTATTCATCAGTTATTCACTAGTTATTTGTTTACATATTCACTAGATATTCATCAGTTATTCAC